TGTCGTCCCGAGCAAACCAAAGAGCCCTGAAGCAGGTGAAGTAGCAGCAAAGCTGCAGAGCCCAGCGATGACTCCGGGAACACCGGAGAAGAAGCCCTCTGCAAGTGAAGACATGGAAGTCAGCGTTGAGGCCCACAAGAGGAAGTCTGAGAGTCGTGAGGAAGCTCCAAGCACTCCTGAGAAGAAGCCACGCATCATGGAGCCCTGTCAGCACCACCAGGCCTTTCGGGCCCAGCCCCAGCCCTTTCCTGCCGCAGGGACAGCGGTGCCACGGGTGCCCCCACTCAAGGTAAGGAGAGCAGGGACAGAGCCACAGTGTGGCCTACACAGGGGGTTCAGCTGGGGAATCTCAGGGAAACATCAAATCCCAGAAGGAGTTGGGTGGGAAAGGACCTTAAAGCCTATCTCATTTGGGCAGGGACACCTTCCATTAGCTCAGGTTACCAGATGGGAAACTTAGTGAGCTGCAGAAGGGCTGCAATGCTGTAATAACAAAGCAGGTGTATCCTAAGAGTGCAGAGAGCCTTGCAAGTGTGTGAGATCCCTGGCAGTGCCATAACACATCCAGAAAGAATGCTGTCCACAGCTTCCTTACAACCAGTCCAGACACTCAATCATTGCTGTGTTAAAACAAGGCCATCTGCACTGCAGTTGTCATTTCCAGCAACTGAGTGCAACAGTGCCAGGTGAGGAGCAGGGGCATTTTGGGGAACACCTCAGTTCCAGAAGCCCTTTGGATGCTGAGTCTTTACAGGAACCACCTAGGAAAGGGTACAGACAATCAGTCACCACTCAGATGGGACAGGTGGGGAGGCAGCAGGAGGGAAACATTCTAGACTCTGCCTGGACAGGCCCTTGGGTTTGAGAGCCAGGTGGTAGGACCACACACTGCTGCTGAATGTGCTGATCTGAGGCCTTAGGCAGAGGTTGTAAATGGAGAACTGCTTTATTTTTGTATGTCCTGGGAATTCTACTCCCCTATTAATATCCTTCTGTACAGAAGGCTGCGAGTCAAACTTTAAAAGTGGTTCATTATTCTCACTGTGTTACTAAGTACAGCATAAAGGTGGGAAAGCATCAATGCAGCTGTCAGTGACACAGAACTGGGAGGAAACTGTCCATGAGAGAGACCTGGAATATAGTACAGGAAGGATGGTTGGCCTGCCAGGGAAATACCAGGGTTTAATTTAACAGCAGAGAGAGCTGAAGGTGATTACAAGTGGTGACTGCAGAAGCAAGTCCCTAAAACATGTCATTCCCCAAAAGGAAAGAGGTGGTGAACTGGTTGGTCAGAGCTCAGTGGGACTCGGTGAGGTTTTGTGGATACAGAAGACAAATGTAACCTCAGATGAACTCCCTGAGATCTCTGCAGTGGGGACAGAGGAGCACCGAGGTCAGTGCAGGGCTCATCACCTACATTGGAAAGAGCAAATATAAAGAAAGTCAACTGGAACACCGAGGGGGAAGAGCAGTGCTGAATGGAGACACCAGTGTTTGAAAGGACAGGAGTTAGAGCTGAGTGAAGGATGAAACAGAGGGAGGGCTGGCAGGTGCTGTGGTCTGGATCAGCCCTGCAGGAAGGAGCCTGGTGGGCTCTGGAACAACAGTATCTGATGGTACTCACTGCAGCTGCGAGAGATGAGCTCCAGCCTGAGTCACTGAGGTTGCACTACACTAGAACTGGGGGTGTGAGACGTCCAGGGGTTGTACACGTCTCCTAATGTTTATCTTGAGGGAGAGAAGGAATTTCTCCAAAAGGATTTCTCCAAAACTGAAGCTAGTTCTCTTAAGATGAAACTGCAAAGGCTGAAACTCTCATGGGTGGAATGTGCTTAACCTGGGGTTGAATCTCCATTATGCTCTTCTCCTCCTCTGTTCCAGATCCCCGTTTCCAGAATCTCCCCGATGCCATTTCCTGCGGGCCAGGTCTCTCCCAGGGCACGTTTCCCCCT